GTAAAACAAACACCAGCAATATTGTCTGACCATCATGTTTTCATGTAAACATCATACAGACTCAGCTTTTTAGCTTTAAGTCTTTTAAGGAATTCAAAAAATGTAAATCTGATGTTCAATTTAAATGTTTAACAATCATTTCTGCAGAAAACGGGTTTTAAATTGTTAAATTAGAAGACATACGGGTTCAAAAGGAGAACACAAGGTTTGAAGGACACAGGAAGAAGAGGAGGACACTTGTAAAGCAAAATGTGCCTAAAATCTATTTTATGCATCCAGCATAACTTTATTATTGATTTGCTCGAAGCCCTCCCGCCCTTAAAAAAAACATATCTTTTCTGTTTGCCTGGCAACAGCAGTCATTTAAAGACTGAGTGCAACAGAGCAGCTAAGAGAGCTGCTGACTGACGCCGCGTCTATCTGAGCTCCACAGCTGCACATACAGAGCAGCAGGACGGTAATCGTTGACTCTGTTCAGGCAATTTTTAAGCTACAAGCCAAGCTTTTGCATAATAATCAAACCAACCCAGGATTTCTTTTGCATCTAATCCATAAACTCAACCGAACCTAAAGTTACAAACTGACAGAGCTGGACCACAAAAGACATTTATTTGCACATTTTTAGGGTTGCATAAAGGTGATACTTCTAGAAACAGAGGGACTGAGGCATGTGTAATGGCAGGCCTCTCTACAGTAGGTGAGTACAGACAAACCAGTGTTCACAATGACTGAGCATTTATTCCCTTAAAGGGGCTCTATTGTCTCCTCTCATACGTTTTCCTTCAAGCACATCCCTCAGTCGTCAGCAGCCAAATAACCTTTAACCTGCAGGGTCCAGAAGGTGACACATACCCCAAAATTCATGCTTCAAAATTAACTTAGGCAATTTTACTGTTCAAACTACCTTCATCATTCAAAGAACATACCAGATATCTGATACCTGCCACCTTCTCTGCTTATTTCAATACTTATCTTTAAAATTTTTGAACTCATCTTTTTTTTTTAAATGCCACAGTGTCTGTAGACTGTTTTATCATCTTTCTCTGCATTAAAAGATGAACTCAAATAAACCCAACTCACCTCACTCTGTTGAAGCTGCACAGCTGTAGTTTTGACCTTTCAACTCAGGCACTCTAATCTCCTGCCTACTTCAGTTGAATTTCATTATTTAGTCAAAATTTACTTTAAACAGCTTTTCCTAAAATAAAAGCTGCCCTCTTTGTCTAAAAGCTATCTGCAGCTCCATTAGATTTTCTGAACTGAGCTAAGACATAAGATCATAAAGTTTGTCTAGTTTATTTTTTAACCAAAGCATTTGAAGTCATGCAAGTTACAAACTAATTTTGATGTATAAATAAATTCTAAAGCTTTGATTTAGCAAAATGATACCATGATTGAACAAAAAAATAAATAAATAAATACATTACTTAATAGACATTTTGTTTAAGCCAAGATTAAAAGATCTGGGTAAAAGTTCTAATATGTGATGTTCTGAGATACCAGCAAGTAGGAAACTTTTTTAATCAGGTCCCTCTTAGACTCTGAAGCTGCTTCCATGTTGCCTAGTCACTTTTATGGAGCCAATTGAACTAGTGTTGGTCAGAAATCCCAGTCTGAATCAAGATGCTCAAGATCGTCCTCCCTTGATTTAAAGCTTAGATGCAACTGCTAGACCAGGGGTGGGTAATTCCAGTTACTGAGAGCCAGTATCCTAACTTTTAGATGTGCCTTTGGTTTAGCACACCTGAATCAAGTAATCAGATGATTGAGAGGACTCTAAAGCAGGCATCCCCAACCTCGGACCTCGAGGCCCGCTGTCCTGCAGGTTTTAGAAGTTTCCTTGCTCCACCACAGCTGATTTTAATTGAGAGCTGATTAACAGGCTTTTGGTCTACTGCAATCATAATCAGCTGTGACATGTGTAGTCAACCAGAAACAGTAGAACATGTGCTGTTTGAGTGTATTAAATATGCAAGTCAAAGAATAGATTTAAGGAAAGGACTGTTACATGAAGGAATCAAACAACTGGACATTAAAAATATCTTCTCAAATAAATCCAGAAAGACGGTACTTAAAATCATGTCATCTTATCTTCAACAAACTGGACTAAACCTAAGGATTTAAGGAAACATAAATAAGGTCAAGTAGGTGGCGATAATGCTCCATTTGGTTGCAAGACGCCAGTAAAACAAGAAGAAGAAGAAGATAATCAGCTGTGCTAAAGCAGGGAAACCTCTAAAACCTGCAGGACAGTGGGCCTACAGGACCGAGGTTGGGGATGCCTGCTCTAGAGGAACTGACTGAATACTGAGGAGACAAAAAACACTCCTGAATCAGGTGTGTTGCACCAAGGGGAATTTAAACTTTGCAGGATACTGGCCCTCAGGAACTGGAATTAGCCACCCTGTGCAGCTAGGCCAAGGAAACCTATGCCATTAGGTTCCCTGCACATTGTTCCTAAACTAATCTGAAAACCACATGAAGGTTGGACGTTTGTAGATATCCACTCTGTATTAAGTTAGCAACCTCAGCGCAATATGTGCCTCAACAATTACTAAACTGGCTGCATGACTTGGTGAACCACTTTGTGACCGAGTTGCTGTTGTTGCCAAACCCAGCAATTAGCAGCAAGGATATTGCATGACTTATTATCTAGGTTCTTCCTTGTATCAGCTTCAGTAGGAGTTCAATGATTCATTACCTATAGACATGCATAGGCGCTTCCTCCGTGTGCTACCTTTACCACTTGGGGGAGTTGAGGCCTTATGGTTAAAGAACTAGACGGGGTCCCTGAGTAACAGCCGTAGTCCCAGTATACTCCCAATGAGGGATGGGTTCAATGCAGAGAATAAATTTCATTGTAATGTACATTTTAAGTGAGCAGTAATGATTATCCTTATGGTTTTTATATAAATTGCAATTTGTGTAACATTTATCATTCTTATGTGGTTGGTGGAAAAAAAAAAAGCTGCATATTTTCGAGATGTCAAAACATGACTTGATGCCAGCTTTTTACCACAGGTAGTTTACAGAAGGGTTTCATTCACACTTTAGATCAACAATTTCAATCTTAAATGGAGAAAGGTCAGTTTTGCTTATTGATGCATTCTTTCCACTAGAAGCCTTAAATAGATAGAAAAACCACCTCCCTACTGTAGCTCTACAGAGATCTTCTAATGTGTTAATATTTGCTGTGAAGAAGAAACGGCTAAAAGTTGCAGGACACTAGCCTCAGAGGCCTAGAGTTCAATCTAACTGGTTTATGGATTAAATAGTTTTTGACAAGTTATAAGACTGAATTGAGATTTGATAAGTAGTGGGATAAGTTAAATATTAAATGTGAAGATCTTAGGGAGGAGCATGTTTCTGCTACACCTCTGAGATGACCTACCGACACAGTTGTCACAGATGCTGCAGTGAGATGCTCGTGGAGGCCGGAAGATCTTGCAGGTGTAGCAATATTTAAGCTTGACAATCTGGTTGTTGATCTGGACATTGCGGATTCGAGGTGGAGGCCGCTGTCCGGAGGGGACGTTCCCATTAGCAGCCTCTGTGCATTAAAGAAAAAAAAGGATTTCAACATTAGTAACATAGAACATTGGAAACCGAGGTCTATTAATTTTTAAATGTCATAGTTGCTCTTTAATTAGCAGTTTGGAACATCAACGTGAGGACATGTTATGTTACTACGTGTATGCTCTGTTTTGCGGTTACTTTTTCCAAAATCACCCCATCATTCTGTCTATAACACAGAATATTTTCCTCAAAGTGTTTTGGATCGATGAGATGCGTGTTTTTTGGTACATATGAGACAATACTGTTTTGGGGAGGTCTGTAGTTATTTTGGATTCTCCCACGGAGGCCGCTTTTGTCCCGTCTCTTTGTTATTATTGACCTCATCTGAGGCAGGTGAGGCCTATGGGGCTTCAGAGGTTTTTCAGGGCTCTTTTTTGAACTCATGGATGGGTTATTGATGAGCTCATGGAATTGTTTTGGTAAGCCAGCCACTCTTGGGAATGTTTACCAATGCTCTATGTTTTTTATCCATCCATCCATCCATCCATCCATCCATCCATTTTCTTTACAGGCTTGTCCCAAGTGGGGTCGCGAGGGGTGCTGGTGCCTATCTCCAGCAGTCAATGGGCGAGAGGCGGGGTATGTTTTTTATTAGTTTGTTATTTTTTTATTGAATCTTAAAGCCTCAAAGACAGCTTATTAATCTGTCCAAACCGATAATTGGCAAGAATTTTGTTTCCCATCTGTTCTGAAGTTTCTTTAAATTGGAGCTTGATGCCTTTTGCATGTGTCGGCCAACTTCATGATGTCAAAGCGTTTCTATTTGAGTACGGTAATTTATCTATTCTACAAATCTGGCAGTGATCAGAGTAGGAAGTGAACTAATACAAATAAAAAAAAATAATGACCCCAGTTGTTTGTAGTTGGACAAGAGGATATAGTATAATTTTCAAAAAAGACCAGGTGGGTTTGAACTCCTCTTTTGCCCTAATAAATCAGTCAAAAAGGGCATTTATCATTTATCTGGGCTATTTGTGTTTGATATTTGAATTGTTCAATAATATGAAACATTTAAGCTTCAACAAATAATTTAAAAAAAGGATACGAAAACACTGCATGGACACTTAGGGGGGCAATCTTATGTTTGTGATTGACAGTTTAGATTTTTCTAATAATGTTATGCTGCTGAAGCTGGGCAGAGCACTAATGATAACACAGCTCAAGGCTCAGAGCCCTCAGGAGAGAAACCACTGTGGAGAATCAACCATTAACATGCTGCAGTGAGCAGACAAAAATGAGCACATAATGGGATAAAGCAAGCATGCCTATTTGATTTTCTGGGGATGCATAAAGATAAAAAAAAAATTATATTTGAGGGAAGTTAATTATCTCAACTGGAGAAAGTCTTCAGACAAGAGAATACGACTAGCTCTAATATAAACTAATAGTGTATTGTTTTTTGTTTGCAGCCCTCAATGGAGAATATCTGCCATGTTAATTAGTTTCTGCAAAAAATAATCCAAACTCATCCATAAGGCATGAAAATGAACAGATTTCTTTTCTGACAGTATGAGATAATTGATATCAATCACCCGAAAAAAGCTGGAGCAGTCGGCTTCGGGACCAACCGTTGGGAATAAATCTGTTAGTATGCACTTGCAGGAATTGATGCCCCTCCCTTGGGGGTCCTGGCTTGATATGCTGGTGGCATTATGTATTCAGAGAGGATGACTCTTCTGAAAAAGTGATCCTCTTTGAGACCGCCACTAATAGGCTGAGGGGAAAGAACCGCCCAGGCTGCAGCGACTTCAGCAAAATGTCTGCCTGGTTTTTCAAATGGCTTTTTTTAGATGGAGATAAATAGACATTTATCTCATTGATCCAAGAAGGGAAATTATTTTTTCACAGCAGTATCTACATCAGTTCAACCAGCATAATGTATAAAACTATATATACACTTTAGAGGACTATAAAAAAAAAAACACTTCAGAAGAGGAATACATAAACAAAAATGAAAAGATCTCCAGAAGCTACAGTGAATGCTGCAACTTTTATAATGTCACTTTCTTCTTCTTTAAGTATTATTTAGCTCACTCTTACTGAATAATATGCACAAGGCCTTGAACAGTATTCATACACCATTAAGTTTTACTATTTGCCATGTTACAAAGGTTATTGGATTTTAAGAGTATTTTCTGTGACAGACCAAAACGAGGCAAACATTGAGAAGGTCTTGCATTTTCTCCAAAATAAATCAAAGAAAAACAATGCAAGTATTTATATTTAGCTCATATAGGTTTATACTTTGTAGAACTTACTTTTGATTTACAAACTTTGCATTTTAAGATTTACATTTTTGCCAGCTGTCCCTTTGTAAAAGCTCAAGCCTAGATTATGGAAAGTGAATGTGAATTTAGTTCAATCTTGCCCTAAATTCTAAGTTGGATTTAAATTTGACTAGGCCATTCTGTCACTAATTTTTGTTATTCCACTGTAGCTCCGACTATATGTTTTTCTTGTCGCTCTACTAAATATAAACCTTCTCCAGGAGGACTGCAGAATGCCAGAAGGAGTGTGCACATATGGAGCTATAAGAGCAAAGAATACAAGCAGAACTCATACCAAAACGATTCATTCTATAGATTCTAAAACTGTTAAAACTTTGTTAAAGCTTTGCTTTTTCGGGTTTTATTTGCATATTTTTTACAAGTTGTCTTTTAAATACATATATTCCATACAAAAACATTAATGTAAATAGCAGTTTGAAGGCATAAATACCTAGTTTGGGTTGAAATTAATGAACTAATAAAGTCCAATTTTTTAATCGGATGTATTGTTTACTACTCATTTATTGTGAAATAAAATGCAAAAAAACACATTTTTTAAATGGATTATTAGACTTAGGGCTGCCCAATAGCGCTGCCTTGCAGCAAGAGGGTTGCAGGTTAGATTCCCAGCCTGCTGTCTTTCTGCATGGAGTTTGCATGCTCTCCCTGTGCATGCGTGGGTTCTCTCCAAGTATTCCGGCTTCCTCAAACAGTCCAAAAACATGAATGTTAGGTTGACTGGTTTCTCCAAATTGTCCTTAGTTGCGAGTGTGTGTTTGCATGGTTGTGTGTCTTAGTGTGTCTCTGAGTTGCCCTGCAACAGACTGCCGACCTGTCTGGGGTGTATCCCGCCTCTAGCCCACAGACTGCCGAAGATAGGCACCTGCCCTACAGCGACCCCGGATAGATGACTGAGGACACTGAGTTCATAGAAACCTTATTTGTTCCTCATGTTAGGATTATTTTCTATTATTCTAGTATATACACTTGTTAAATCTCAATATTACCTGCCTGTTAAGTGTTAAGGCTCATGTTTCTCCAATTAGTTTATCTAAGTAAGACAAGATTTAGAAATGAAATGGGAGTATACGTAGAGTGGGTTATACTTATCAGACAGCTCTCTCACTGTGCATTCAGAATGTCCTTGATCCATAACAATGTATTTCTTTCATAAGGCTGGGATCAGTGATGTCTCCTAATTTACAAACATGTGTATGATGTAATGTTGTGATGAGGTTTCAGGCTGTGTGAATCAAATGCTTCTTAAATTGGTATTCTGGGTCGACTTTCTGAAGAAGCGAGCCCGTTGGTAAGCGCTGCAGTCTGTAACCCGAGTCCTTTCACTGGTCTGAGCAAAATTACAATTTCTGCAAAAACTGTTGTCATTGTAGTTATTTAATACATATAAATTATGAAGTGTTATTTAAAGTGTTTCTTCTGAGTGATCTCTTCTCAGGAAGAATTGGGGATAGAAAGCTTAAAGATGTAAACACAGAGCTTTCCATTACACCCACTTTGGTGCATATACTGTTTAATTATTCTGTTTTGATTGCCTTCCAAATGGATGTAGCTCAGGACTGATCTGATTTACATGACTACTTAACTAAAGACAAAGACATTTACTCAAACATCTATTAAAGGTAGATTTTTCATGTTAAAATGTGTGTCAGCGTTGGGCCTTAGTTAAAATCTGCAGGACAATCCAGAGTATGAAAGGGCGCACGGTTATATCAGGTGGGCTCTTTTTTCGTGACAGAAAAGCCCAAATGGTGTACAAAACACAAAGCTCTAGTCCTTCATCATTCCTAGAAGGCTGTTAATATTAGCCCACCTTGCTTTGATCACTATTTCACCAAGAGGGGTGATTCTAACAATCAGGGACTCGTCAGCATGGCGTCGGTAAGTGGTGCTGCTTTTGTAACTTTTCACCAAGCTGCCCTTTTTTGGACAATTCACACACTAAAAAGGGAATCAGGTTGGAGTAAAAATGCTGATTTATGACAGAGCCTTTGGTCATGACATTTAAGCTGTATGTCAGTTGTATCTGGAGCAGTTTGTAAAGCTAACTGTTCCTAAACCTTGGAGGTTTTAGAAGTGACAAGCACATGTATATTCTATGCTATGCATGAAAACTGTGTCACTTGACAATGTTAGAAGGTGAACTGTTGGACTGCATAGTTTCAAAGAGTATCTGCAGTGAGGGATGGAGAACCTTCAAATGGAATCTTCTATGTTTAAAGCCCTGTAAAACCAGCAATTTGTGGATAAAAGCAAACAAATTCAGTGGATTATTGCATCAAAGCCTCAACTCTCAAGATTTAGGGGGGAAAAAAGTAGCATAATGTTTAACCTACTTTTACAAAAAGTGAAAAATGGGCATCACTCTACCAGTCCAGCGCTATGACAGGAAATCTCTTTAGTGAATGAATTTTGAAATAGGGATGTTGTGAATGTTCAGTTTCCCGTTTGTGCGATGTGATTTTTGTAGACTGACTGCATCTGGCTCCAGGGTCAAAACAGAACCGTGCAGCATTGGTGCTTTCTCCATGGGTAGAATCCAAATCCGACATTTACCCATACTTAGGTCTGGATGAACCAAAGCAGAAATTGAAAGCACTATTGAGTGGATTCAAAAATCGTGCATAGAGAACAATTTAGCAGCAGTCTGAAGCTAAGCTTGACCTGTGCTTTTATTGTGAAATACCTAAAGCAAGCCCTTTACAGGAAAGACATGGGGTTACCAAGGGTAACAGCAGATCCAAGCTGATGGGTCTGGGAGGCTGGTGATTTACTAAATATTAAACAATCATTCCAGTCACTAACTAAGGTAAACATGTTCACTGTTATATTTAACACCAGCAAAGGAATAACATGTAATATTATGCAATAACTTTATATCAGGGAACCAGCCCAGCACTAACATCTGCTTGGATGGTGACGTCATCAGCCGTAATTAATCTTAAAAACCAACAAAAGTTTTACCTGCAATAAAGAAGTACTGAAAAAGTAGGCTAGATGATTGATTCAATTCGGAGCTTAATGAGGGGGATAGTTGAACTCTGCGTAACCTAAAAAAAGAATCTTTAATATGGCTGAAACAACAGTAGCACATGTGATCTTTTCATGAAACACCGTGCATTTGATATGTGGAGCGGTGTACTCCTGGCGGTGCTCACAGAAATTACTGCAAACACCACGGTTGGTCTGAATGCACCTTTAGGCTGGAAAATATGTGGTCAGGGAATTGTTTTCATAGATATAATACTTTAATCAAAACTCAAAGGGGGGTGGAGGGTTGGTGACCATCAACAGCAGTAACTGGGGGATATGTGGGGTACACCCTTCACAAATCACCTGTCTGTTGAAAGGAACCGAGAAATCAAAACCAAGGTCATGGTTTTGGATTTAAGGAGGAAGCCTTGGTACCCAGAGAGAACCGATGTATGCAAAGACATGGCATGCAAACTCCATGCACCAAGCCATAAGCCTGAATTTAAATCCAGTACCTGTTTGCTGGAAAGTAAGTTTTTACCAAGTTTGACTGAGTACATGACCTGTGAAATGAATTTATCTTTGTCCCATTGTAACTTGTCTTGTCAAGTCTTTCCAATTATTCTACCAGAACATCAGGTGAACAAAACAACCATTATCAATGTTACACTGCCATTTTCAGGTTAGTAGTTTTCTAAACAGCCACTGACCAATTAGGAAAGTGTTCCATTATTATGAGCGGATGAGACTCTAATAACCATTTGAAAAGCAGTTAAAAGGTCTGCTGTAAAAGCCTTGATGTCCCCGCTCACTGCTTTGCTGTGTTCGGTGTGAAAAACACACCTCTGGGATATGTTAATGTGTGCTGCATTGTTGTTCATTTGTTCTGTGTTTTATTGCCAATTAGTTTCACCTCAAACCTTCGAAACCTGCAGAGGAACATCTCAGACGACGGCAATAGCATTTAAACCAAAAGCAAACTCCCAAATGTACAATTAGAGAAATTCATAAATAAGTTAAATCCCAGCAGGAGAAAATTAAAGCTATATATATATATATAAATAAATTAGTTTTCAATACTTTGAAGCAACATATTTTCTATGGTGCCTCATACACACATGCAATCCATTTATGATTTTTTTTAAAAAGTGATATTAATAGCAGTTTGAAGGCATAAATACCAATTTTGTGTCAACCTTAAGGACCTCATAATGTCCATTGTTTTTGAAAGAGCTTTTGTTTACTATTCAATGAATATTTTTTTTTGTAAAATAAGTTACATCAAGGTAGAAATACCATTTAAGCAATATAATACAAGAAATAAAACTTTATGGCAAGTGGAAGAGCTATTTTGGGCTCATTTAGGATATAAGGTAGAGGCTAAAGACCTAGATCTATGTTTTCATAACACAGATACTGTATACAGATGCAATCTAGGTATTTTGGAAATTTTGAAATAAGTGTAATGAACGCATTATAATAAAATGAATACATTTAAAAACAAATAAAGAACAAGAGAACAGGCAAAAAGATAATAGGCAGATATATCCTTCCAGTGGTAGGTTAGAAGATGTGTCACTTTGTAGCAAGCAAAAAAATAACTTGTTACCATTTTAAGCTTAAACCCACAAAGTAAAAAAAAAGAACCAGATGTTTTCTAATCATCCATCCATCCATCCATCCATCCATCCATCCATCCATCCATCCATCCATCCATCCATCTTCTCCTGCTTAATCCTTTAGGGTAGCAGTGGGGTTGGTACCCATCTCCCGCAGTCTATTGCTGAAAGGCAGAGTACACCCTGTCTAGGTCGCCAGCCCATGACAGGGCAACATAAAGACACACAATAATACACAAGTGCACTCACGCCTACAGACAATTTAGAGACTGTAATAAGCCAAACAGTCATGTTTTTGGACTGTGGGAGGAAGCTGGAGTACCTGGAGAGAACCCATGCACGCTCTGGGAGAACATGCAAAGTCCATGCACAAAGAACCTGGGCAGGACCTTCTTGCTGCAAGGCAACAGTGCTACAAGCTGCTCCATTGCGAGTTTTCTATCTAATGACTATTTTCAAAATAATTAAAATAACCTTAATCCAAGGACAAAATATAGTTCCAGTGATGCAATATTAATTTTTGCAAAAATATGCAGGTTTCACATTCGCTCTGCATTTCCCCCCCCCAAAAAAAAACAAAAAAAACCTGAAAACTTCTTATCATAGATTGTTACAAAAAAAAAAAAATCTGGTAATTTAATGTCCTTAAATGCAGGACTAAATCCTCTCAATGAGTAATTGCACCAGCTGTAGTTTTGTTTCGGATTTAAGTTCAGTTTCTTTAACAGCTCCTGCAGCTGGCTGCTTGCATCTAACTAGCTGTTACAAACTCCAGGCTCTCTGTAAGGGTCATCAAGGCCACAGCTATGGCGTTTAACCACCAAGAACTGTCACCCCACACAGAGTGATTCAGTCATAATGAAAGCAGCAAATCCCACCTCAGGGAACTAAATACCTAGCCTTAATCTTTTACAGAAGTCAACACTTCATAAACTCCAACATATCTAATGTGCAGCTATGATAACAATGAACAAATTAAAGGACTGTCTGCTTGTTACCAAACAAATTATTCTGAAATAATCATTGAAAAACTGTCCTCCACACCAAGTGCTCATGCTGTAAATAATGAAGGACCTCTTGGCAAGAAGGCTGGAAAAGTATTTTCTCCATTACATGTATTTAAATTGAAATTCAGAACTGGCAAAAATCTGCATCACATCATCAAAAGCTTTACAGAAAACTTGAAACATCAACCAAGCTCACATGTCTAATCAAAGCATCTCTAAGAAGTTTGAAATAAAGAGGATTCAGTTTTTTCACTTCTTCAGTTTTTGACTTAAACTTCATTAAGAAAAACATTCTTTTGAACCCAACACAGCTACTAAGTTCCTGCTAACTTGGAGAAGCACTAATCCTTTAAAGGTTAATAAATAGCAGACTTCTGGCTCCAGTCACACATCCAGCAGTGACAGCATTAATCATTTCAGTGATGTTTGTTTTGCCCTGTTAGACAATAGAAGTACACTCCTTTCTGCTTATCTTATGGCCTCACCCTTTAAAGGAAAAGTCCGGTCATATTCAGAATACAAACTTCTGAAAGTACTTTAAGTATGAAATTATTAGATACTTTTCAATAAATAAGTGTTTTTATTTGAGAGTAATTTAATTTCAATGTGTTTTACTGGAGACATCCATGTTTGTTAAAGAGCACTACTGTCAACTACTGGTTTGCGATGTCACAGTGCTGTATCGGCTGTTGAGCAAGTCCCAGTGCTGTATCTGGTGTTTGTCACAACGCGCTATTATCCATGATGGTGACGACCAGTGCATTATGCGAAGCAGAAAGTAATGGATTAATGACGTGTTCTTGATGGCAAGTCCTCCCTCTTCAAGTTGGCAATCCAACAACGAACCCGCGGTGGATCATGAATGGGAAAGATTAATTTTTTTTTCCACTTTTACCAGATGTATTACAATATCCAACTGCCATGCACATGGGCATTGTCATTTAACTATAGTTCTCACGAATTTCAATGGTGAAGTCCTCTGGAAATCTTCAATAATTGTTGTTGATTGCAGATGCATCTAGTAGTTTCCATTGATTTAGCTTTTAAAGCGGGGAGAATGGCACTCTGCTTACCGCACCGAGACGTTGATGCCGGAAAATGTCAAGAGTGAGGTGTTACTATATTTGGGAAAAAATGGCCGGTCCCAGACTCAGTGATCACAAATAAGAATATTGTTTTGTTTTGTTTTTTGTACTGATTAATGCTACTTTCATAAAATCACCGCAAACGTATTAGTAATAGGTATAAATAATGACCCATTGGTTATTCCTTGCTGACCGGACTTTTCGTTTAAATACAATTCTAAGGCCAACTGGAAGCACAGCTTATGTACATACATATATATGAACATATATTCTGTATATATGCTTTCGTGTAATTTATATACGTTTTAGGAAACATAAATAGGAGAGATAATAAGCACTGATGAGGCTAAAAGTGTTAATGGTGTCATGACCACAGCAGATGACTAAAACTTCATTAAGTTAAGTTAAGTAGATTAATCTACTGACCAATTTCCATCTCTATGAAGTTGGCCTCCTCTGGAAGGGCGCGTGGCAGCACCCCCGGGTCACTAAAGCTCGTCCTCAGCAGCATGGCCATGACGAACAGGAAGAGGACCACAGCGAACACTGGGATGGCAGGAGACAGGTGGACGGCCAGGTACGGGCATCTATACATATAAAAGAGGTTGACAAACAGGATTAATAATAGCTCCAGTTTGAAACATCTATTAACTCTATTTGGGGATACCAAAGAGATGGGTACACATTTAAAGAATACGCTTCAAAATGCATCTTTAATAAGCCCTTTTCCCTTTATTAGCAAAATATTAAATACTCTTTGCTGTTCTGATGCAAAGAATCCAAAAAAATCATGTTGTGGTTTGTGGTGTTAAAGAAACAGCATGTGAAAAGTGACATAAAGACCTTAGAAAAGCACTGGGGTTGACCCAACAGAATCATGGGAGTTGCTTTAGTGAGATCACAAAATGACAGAAACATATTCTGAGCTGCTGCTTTAAGCATAAGGTCGTGAACCTTTAACCAGACCTCACAGCTGTGTATATACAAGGCACACTCCTCTGCCCTGGTGGAAAGGATGGGAGCTATCAACTTGGTGAGTCAGTCGTAGCGGGCTTAGAGCCAGCTGGACTCCTCTGATCCTGCCTGCTGCTCAGTAACAGATGTGTGCTGCAGAGTCAAACGCTGCAGCAGAGCAGCAGCACCTACAAAGCCCTCAGCACACAGTTATTAATAGTTAAACTATGTGGCTTCATCTAAATTTTAAGAAGAAGGTATTATTTATGCAGAATGTAATGCTAATGATCACCAAGAAGAAGCAAGAAAAAAAGTACTGAAACATAAGCTTGTGTTTTTCACATTTTTTGGTTGAATGTATTTGAAACCATCTGCCTATTTACTGTTAAAGGCAAAGAGATTAAAGATTTTTTTTTTTAATTAAATAAATTTATCAGGCCACAGAAATGACGACTTGCTCTTTTGGAGGTAGTGTGATGGTATTGGGGTATCTCCTCCAATTAATTTGAACACTGAAGCCCAGTTTCTTGAATAGGACGATGGCAGTGAGTCCACTGCACACAAACTGTCTCATAGGCACCAAATCTCAGTCCAACTGAGCACCTCTGGGATGCAGTAAAATAAAGATATTCTCCTTATGGAAGGGCAGCAAACCAATCTGCAGTAACTATTTGATGTAATCAGTCAACACAGACCAACAAAATCTAAGGAATGTTGAGGTTATTTGCCACAAGCAGTTCTGAGCATGACAGGGTTCAAAATGGACTTAAGTAAAAGCATACCTAAAGAAGTGGCCATTGAGAGTACTTATTGGACTATAGCTGAAGCCTGTATTCTGATTCGGAGTGGCTAGGAGTTAGTTACTGTAGTTGGCAGGAACAGCCTGAGTCAGCATTACAGGCCAGGGAACAAAGTCCATCTGTTTATCTGCTCTCTGAACTGAGTGTCAGCATACCTGAGAAACGATCAGCCTACAACACCAGCTCCACCGGTCTGAGCAGTTTCTACCCACCACTACTGATGGGAAATGGGCAGCAGAATCAGATCAATATACATTTCTACTGTGAAGCAGAGAGCCAGGACATCCAAGTGGGTGATTCCTGTAATAATGATGGTCAGGAATTTGAGTCACCCTCTATCATCACTTCCCATCAACCCTCCTGAGTGTGGCTACCTCCTTCAGCTGCTAAGGAGCTGGGCGGTGCTGCAGGAGAAATGGCGTGTTTATCAGCTATGACAGGACCACCAGTAAAAACTGGAGTAAATCTGTCTATTTTCCAGGAGCAGAAACTTTCCCAAAGCCGATCAATCAGATAATAGCCGTTTATATTCTAATTTCTGCTTCAAAACTTCAAACCAGTAAATGTAAAATGACCTCATTTACAGTTTTATTCGTTTGACTCTTGTTGGCGAATGGAGTCGCTGCCTGGAGCTATATGATGGGCTTTCAAGGTGCTGTGGGATACATTTCATAAACTGCAGCAGAACCAGGTGCGCCGGTTCTTCCAGTTTCCACTCATTTAGAAAAAAACAACAAAGCTGCATCTAGCTTAAACAGCTCTAACCCCAAATGCATTATAACACAGTTTTCCATTATGTCATTCAGAGAGAGGAAAGTTTGTTTTGTTTTTTCAAATAATGTCAACCAGAATAGATCATGTTCTTTGCAAATATTAATTTCCATATCTCCACCCTCTGGAAGCTAAGCAAATAAATAAAATATGACACTAACACTTTTGCACAGCTATTTTTATAAGTTTTATTTTTAAATTATATCAAAGCTTTTTTCAGTCTGACCTGAAGATTTATTTTTAAACAATCAAAATAAAAACACTCCGAGGCAAAAGGTATGTAAGCAGGAGTGATTCTCGCCTTTAAAGCTGAATCAGTGGGGTTGACAGATCCGTCTCTGTTTGCTAAAGGCTTAATGTCACTCTTCCTCTATGACCTTTGAACCATCTCTGTAAATCTACAAAGTCCAGAGTATAAGATGTGGTTAAGAGCATCAAATGGTTGTTTTTTGTTGTTTTTTTTAAGGATGCAAAGCTCACCTTTTTGAAAGAGACAATGATTAGGCTGGATAAGATAATGGATGGCACTAAGGCAGTGCAATATGGCTAAAAAATCTAATAAGCCTTTCATATAAGTCAATATTAATATTTATTTTATACCTAATCAAACATAAATGTAGCCATTAAAAAGAAGTCAGCCATACCCCCAAACTTGCTGAGTTTGTTGTACTTTAAGAGGTTGAGAGAAATCATTTTGTTTGCCTACATCCCCCAGAATGCAATGCAGTTCTGCTTCAGAGGTCAGTGAAATTTTAGATCCTATGGAATTTCTGTCTGTTGTCCTCCACTTACGTAAACTTGCACACTGATTTGAATGCATTTCTAAAACATAAAATAGTTGTAAAAAGAAGCAACAATTTGACGCAAACCACAACTGCATGTAAACATTAGCAGCCCTATAAAAGCAGGAATGAACCAGTTTGTCTGCAAAACAAGAACTTCCGACTCAGTAGGAGTTATTCAAGTTAACAAGCAACTACAACCACTGAAAATGTATATTTAATGCATCAAAAAATAGTTGTTTTTAAGAATAAATCACACCCAAAGGTACTGCTGTTTTTATTAAAATTTAGCCCTTCTGTCTTTGGTTTGGTTTATGGAGTTTGATGCGCTTTAAAAATCATCATATTGATTTAAACGGTTCTGGTTTTGTTAAGATGTTAAAATGAAATGTTTAAAACCACTGCAAAAACAATTATACAAAAACAGAGTAAAAAAAAATAGAGTAACCTTGAACCTGAACTTGTGATTATTCTTATTACTTTCCTAAAATACAAAAGTTAGCATACCGTTTTTTACCATCTGTTAGAATTGTCTTTCAACTAGTTTTTGGATCATACATTTTGGGTTTTCCTCTATAAGCTTCTCACAATAGTTTCCTGGGTTTTCCTAATTTTAATTGTTTATTTTCAAGAAACCACCACCTGAAGATAAACTGGCATCTTGAGTGATCTAAACTTGTGGAGGTCTTTCATTCTCATCCTAATTTTTCCAGCCATGTGTTTGCTTTAAAACAATCAGTTACGTTGATGGTATAAACTGTCATCCCTCTTGTTTGAAACATTGTATTTTCTTCCTTTAAAAAGCCTAATAATATTTATAATTTAAAATTTTAACTCCAGTAGTAGATTTAAATCATCAGAATCAGTATTAATTTGTTAAAATGGTGTAAAAACACATTACCCTATAAAATTATGCCAAAGGTTTGACACAAGTTGTTGTTTAATGTTGAGAAATTTTCCAGTCATAATTTAGAGCACGTGTAAAATAATCAGGTCCCATTATATTTCAGATCCTGATAAGCTACTTCTGCCTGTGGGTACGTGAGGTGGAGGGTAATTTAAGGCGTGTCTGCTTCAAACTTTGATCCTGATGCTTAGACAGTTCGTTTCAGAATAACATGAACCTCTAGATGAAAAACTACAGTAAAAATCTCTCTTAACGACTCAGTCAAACAGCAGAAGCAGTCAAGATGCTGGATGACTCATGACATTTTGCCTTTAAGGAACCCTGTGTGTCCTCCTCTCATCAAACATGCTCTAAGCTGTTGTAGACCTGCATGACTTAAGCAAAAAAATAAATACTGCAAAAGTTGGATATCAAATTACCCGGGTTCTTGGGGCACTGCCAGATAAACTATAAGATCACAAACTCTGCCAGGCTCTCTTCTTTTACAGTGTGGAGAGAAAAGGGACAAAAAAAATCAATACATGAAGAGATTTGATACATCCCTCTGCAGCAGTGATTCCAAGCAACTGATATGCTTTTCCTCAGAACTAATCGCACTCCTCCAATCTGAGCGCTCATGCATGATATCTATGTTCCAAACATAGATTATTACAGTAGATTTGATCAATTGAGGCTTCTCTAGAGAACCTGCAGGGCTTATAGCATCTGTTGCAGAAGGCATGTATGTAAAGAAGACCAGCCTCTGTCTGAAAAATGTATTTTATGAACAAGCAGAAAGATGTTCATAATTAGAGAAAGCACAAATCAATGTGTAAGAGATCAGATTTGGACAATATTTATGCTGATCAGATAACCAAACTGTTATTTTATATTTTAACCTAATGCATGACCACTGAACACTCCCTACCATTTAAAGTCTATAGATGTGCTTAACAACAATTTAGACTGAGAGGTGAATCTGGAGTTTAGTCAAAAAATGAAAATCTTTTCATAAAGATTGATATATAAATGGGGAAAATATTGCAACTGATTTATTTTCCACTTGATTCAAAACTCTCCAACCACTCACTACCAAAGGGTATACAGCATTTTTATGTGCAAAAAAAAGGTCGAGAATCAACCTAAAAAACTTCATTGCATCTGCTGCATATAAAAAAAAAAAAAAAAAAAAAAAACACATCTGAAATGGTTAACCCAGTACTTAATCTCAAGTTTCCACAATAAGCTCTAGGATTTAAGGGGGCATTCCATGCAAAATCCACTTCTTTAACCTTAAAATCCATTTTGTTGTCATCTTTGGAGTCTCTAAGAGTGCAAAATAGTTTAGATTTAGTCTCTCAAAATGCTGAATAGATATTCTGTTTGGGTTATGT